AAAATGGGACCACACATTGTCATGCATGTGTCTTGGAGTAAATCAATATAATTGACTGGTGACAAACCTGGCCCCTGGGGCCACACTGTCTGGGTCTGAACCCAGCCTTTTTTGTAAAAATAATAATCTATTTATTTGCGGTCATAACCTTGGCAGCCTACTAGGCCCCTCTGTATCCAACTGTCTCCTTTATAGACTTGAGAAGGCAAGAGTGCTGACCTTATAGGGTTTTTGTGAGGGTTAGAGCTAAAACCTGAAAAGCATTTAGAATAGTTGGTTATTGTTTAGCCGCTAAGTCATGTCCAACTCTTCGCTACCCCATTGACTACAGCCCACCAGGCTCCTCTGTCCATGGGATTTCCCAGGCAAGAATGCTGGAGTGGGTTGCCATTTCCTTCTCCAGGGGATCTTCCTAATCCAGGAATCAACCTTGTGTCTCCTGCATTGGCAGGTGGATTCTTTACCACTGAGCCACCAGGGAAGCTCATTAGAATAGTACCTACACCCATTAAATGTTAGTTACCCATAATTTTCAGGAGTATCTTATTGTATGAATATACAATATAAAAACCTCAATCTTTAAAGCAACACTGAGGATTCTGGTAACAGGGAGGATAATATTCAGTAGGGTATTTAAAATTAATATCCTATTTACATAATTTAAAATACAGACCTCAATAACACAGTGACTTTAATAGGTTCAGTTTGGCTTCTGTCACCAGATAGGTTACAGTCACCCTCATGTTATAGAAAGTAATGATTTGTCTATTGGTTCACATGAGTCATGTAGCTAAACACCTCTTTGAAAACAAATTTGTGAATTAGTGCTTGGAAACACTGATAATGTACTGAGCTATTTCCTAGGGGCCTGGAGGGGTTTCTCCACCTTCTGAAGCACCTGAGAAGCTTGGAGTGACTTGTTTTGTGAAGACGGTTTGGCCTTTTGAACATCTAGTGTGCATACTGTTCCATCCCCATAACCATGAAAGACAGCTTTCCAATGAAAAAAAAATTCATTTACTTTTTGAATTAGTAAATTTGTAATTCAATTTCCTCCTGGCATTTATATGTCAGTTTTTTGGGCCATTACAAGTAGAAAATTTATTTCTAGTTGATTTGGGATTAACTGGAACCCAATTAACCAGAAACTTTCGTTAACTGAATGATTTCCCCACATTGTCTTCAGAGGGGAGAATGTGACACAGCAAAGTTATATCAGAGATTTTGTAGAAAGAAATGTCAGGGTTATGCCCAGAGACTTTCTGTGTGACACTCTCACTCACTCCTTCTCTGCAGCTCAGAGTCGTATTCAGTATGATGCGCTTTGTGGCATCCTGCAAAATTATGGATCATAAAATAGCATTCACTTTCAATTTTATTAGTAAGCTGGAAAAAGGGGGCTAATGAATTTTAGGAGGGTTTTCAGTAGACAGGGTGGAAATAACTCTACACTTTGCATTTTCAGAACAGAAGAAAGGGAATGCCAGTGTTTGTTTTGGCTGAGGCTTCCTCATGGCCCAGGTAGCCATCAAAGTCGGTTTGTATGACTACACATGGACCCTCAAAAAATGGTTTGCTTGGCTCGGAAAAATAATTTTTGGATGTAAAATTCTCAACTGGATTTTTTGCTGTTAATTAAGGCTCTTATTAAAATGTTGGGTAGAACAAAGATTGCAAATTTAACAATTTACATTTTAATGATAAATCAGAAAGTCTCTCTTCCCCAGGCTTCCCTGTCCTTCACCATCTCCTGGAGCTTGCTCAAACTCATGTCCATTGAGTCAGTAATACCATCCCAACCATCTCATCCGCTGTCATCCCCTTCCCTCACTGCCTTCAATCTTTCCCGGCGTCAGGGTCTTTTCCAATGAGTCAGCTCTTTGTATCAGGTGGCCAAGGTATGGGAGCTTCCGCTTCAGATCAGTCTTTCCAGTGAATATTTAGGGTTGATTTCCTTTAAGATTGACTGGTTTGATCTCTTTGCAGTCCAAGGGACTCTCAAGAGTCTTCTCCAGCCCCACAGTTTGAAGGCATCAGTTCTTCCATGCTCAGCCTTTGGTGCTCAGTCCATATGATCACATGGACCTAAACCTTGTCTAACTCAATGAAACTATGAACCATGCCACATAGGGCCACCCAAGATGGATGGGTCATGGTGGAGAGTTCTGACAAAATGTGGTCCACTGGAGAAGGAAATGGCAAACCACTTCAGCATTCTTGCCTTGAGAACCCCATGAACAGTATGAAAAGGCAAAAAGATATGACACTGAAAGATGAACCCCCCCCACCCCCGCCCAGGTTGGTAGGTTCCCAATATGCTACTGGAGAAGAGTGGAGAAATAGCTCCAGAAGGAATGAAGAGGCTGAGCCAAAGCGGAAACAATGCCTACTTGTGGATGTGACTGGTGATGGAAGTAAAGTCTGATGCTGTAAAGAACAATAGTACATAGGAACCTGGAAAGTTACATTTATGAATCAAGGTAAATCAGAAGTGGTCAAGCAGGAGATGGCAAGAGTGAGCATCAACATTTTAGAAGTCAGTGGACTAAAATGGACAGGAATGGGTGAGTTTAACTCAGATGACCATTATATCTACTACTGAGGGCAAGAATCCCTTAGAAGAAATGGAGTAGTCCTCATAGTCAACAAAAGAGCCTGAAATGCAGTACTTGGGTGTAGTCTCAAAAACAATAATGATCTCGGTTCGTTTCCAAGGCAAACCATTCAATATCACAATAATTCAAGTCTGTCCCAACCACTAATGCTGAAGAAGCTGAAGTTGAACAGTTCTATGAAGACCTACAAGACCTTCTAGAACTAACACCAAAAAAAGATGTCCTTTTCATCACAGGGAACTGGAATGCAAAAGTAGGAAATCAAGAGATACCTGGAGTAACAGGCAAGTTTGGCCTTGAAGTACAAAATGAAGCAGGGCACAGGCTAACAGAGTTTTGCCAAGAGAATTCACTGGTCATAGAAAACACCGTCTTCCAACAACACAAGAGATGACCTTACACATCGACATCACCAGATGGTCAATACCAAAATCAGATTGAGTATATTCTTTCTTCTCCTAATACATTATGATATTTTAAAATAACTTACTGTAGGGATTGGAATTTCCAACAGTCTACACATCTAGCCCTTTATTTAAATGCTGACATCTTTGGGGACTTCTCTGGCAGTCCAGTGGTTAGGACTTTGCGTTTCCACAGCAGGGACCTGGGTCCGAACCCTGGTGAGGGAACTAAGATCCCCAAGCCTTATGGTGTGGCCAGAAAAAAAAAAAATGCTGGTATCTTTAAAAGGCTGCCACGCTTTCCGCTAGCAGCCACTATAGAGGCCAGCCTGGCTGTTGTCATTGTTCAGTCGCTCAGTCATGTCCAACTTTGCCACCCCATGGACTGCAGCATGCCAGGCTTCCCTGTCCTTCCCTCTCCCCCTGACATCTTCTGGAGTTTGCTGAAACTCATGTGCACTGAGTCAATGATGCTATCTGACCATTTCATCCTCTGTTGCCCCCTTCTCCTCCTTCCCTCAGTCTTTCCCAATATCTTTTCCAGTGAGTTGGCTCTTCACATCTGTTGGCCAAAGAAAGTATTGGAGCTTCAGCTTTAGCATCAGTTCTTCCAATGTATATTTAGGGTTGATTTCCTTTAGGATTGACTGGTTTGATCTCCTTGCTGTCCAAGGGACTCTTCAGAGTCTTCTCCAGCACCACAGTTCGAAAGCATTAATTCTTCAGTGCTCAGCCTTCTTTATGGTCCAACTCTCACATCCATACATGACTACTGGAAAAACCATAGCTTTCACTATATGGACCTTTGTTAGCAAAGTGATGTCTCTGATTTGAATAAACTGTCTAGGTCTGTCATAGCTTTTCTTCTAAGGAGCAAATGCCTTTTAATTTCATGGTTGCAGTCACTGTCTGTAGTTATTTTGGAGCTCAAGAAATCAAAATCTGTCACTGTTTTCATTTTTTCCCGTCTATCTATCTGCCATGAAGTGATGGGGCTCGATACCATGATCTTAGTTTTTTGAATGCTGAGTTTTAAGCCAGCTTTTTCATTCTCCTCTTTCACCTGCATCAATATGCTCTTTAGGTCCTCTTCACTTTCTACTATTAGGGTGGTGTCATCTGCATATTTGAGTGTTACTATGATCAAAAATGTCAGTCCAGGAAGCCAAGAGGACTGTGGCTGCTAAAAGATTCCCAGCACCCTGGCAGGCACCTCTGGAAAAGATACTACCTACACCTGTAAACACTACAGAAGAAGTCTCTCCATTGCGTGGAGGCCCAGGAGAGAAGTTCCTTTCTCAATCTTGTTTTCAAAAAGTAGATGATTTTAAAATTAGGGTCCAGGATTTAAACTCATTTTATACACTTCCTCCCTGTATAAATATTCCTGATAAAACTTTACTTTTAAAGATTCCAAGAAAGGAAAATCAGAAATTACTGACACCCTTTAATTACTATCTATAATTCAAATGAAGAACATAGCGTTTTGTTAATACAAGATATTCATTAGAGAAAAGCAAGCACGGTTGCTTCCTAAAGACGTATAGAAACTTGTGAACAAAATGTACCTCCACTTACCAAACAGTCCAATTTGAGGCCCTGCAAGGACTGATGGGAGATAAAGAATGCTAGAAATGGTCAGATTTTTTCTTCTATTATTAAACTAGAAACTAGGAATTTAACAGGAGCCTCAGGTTTGTTGGCAGTTAAAAAAAAAAGAAACAGGATTCCAACTGAGACAGTTTCTAGTTTTGATGTATGACTCTCATTTTCAATTAATAGAGATAAATATTCAGAAATACATATTAACATTCTTTTATTCATCATATCTGTGCATTAGTCTTATAAAGTGGCTGGAAAAAAAGCCATGCATTCACCCAGAAACTGAACATCTCAGTATGACAAAGAAAAGTGCTACTAATCCTGATTCATTACTCATCCTGTGCGTATGCACCTTTTCTGCAACAATAAGGATTCTTACCTTGTGGTGAAAGTGGGAGGGAAATCTGATCACTGCCTACGTCCTCATACTTGATGTCTACCTGTGGGTAAAACGAGACGTTTAATTACTGACACTGAATAATACTGACTTATTAAATGTTAAATAGGAAAAAAGTAATCTACCTACCGAAGGTGAATGATCAACACTTGTAGAAGATGTCGACACTGTTGCCAAGTTCATTTTGGATTGCACAAATAAAGGTTTAACTTTCTGAAAGGCACAAAGGGTTCATACCATTGTTATCCAGGGGAAATAAATATCAACTCAAATGGAGGTAGAATGCTCTTCAGTCCTTAGTTAACTGAGAGATGAAAATTATGCTTCTAACTTAATGGCTCAAATATCACTGGGGAATTAATTTCCTTTAAACCCAAGGAATGTCAGACTCTTTGTGACCCTATGGACTGATGCCTGCCAGGCTCCTCTGTCCATGGGATTTCCCAGGCAAGAATACTGGAGAGGGTTGCCATTTCCTCCTCCAGGAGATCTTCCCGATCCAGGGATCGAACCTGCGTCTCCTGCAACTCCTGAATTGCAGGTGGATTCCTTCCCCACTAAGCCACAAGGAATAGATCCCTTCCTAATTCAGGCTACTTTGTGAGAAAATTCAAGCACAAATGTTTTCCTCAATGTCTCTTCTGACTCTGCTTCCTTCTGATTCTCCCTATGCCATTTGGGATTTACTCCTTGTAACTGGTCAGGTATCACAAGGTCATCTCCAGCACTACTCAGTTCCTGGAAGCTACACAGTAGTGGTCCTGGTTCCCAGGAACTGAAGAGTGAAAACACAAAGGCAGCTCTTCTAGGAGTTCAGAAGCAGCAGCACATAAGCGGAACAGCCACCAACATCACATAAGGCACAGTAAATCATGACATTAAAAATATGCTGGTGGAAATGACCAAAAACACACCAAGCATTATTATCAAAAAGAGGTCTGAGGTCTGTGGGTGCACCCTGGGAATTTATGTGATGTTTTCCCTATTCAAGGCTTCTCTCTTGTTGGTTTGTATGTATGCGTACACATTTGCATGCATTTTTCTATCCCCCTACAGCCTGCTCCCACTCCCTTTTTGTTCCCCTCGACAAATAAACCATTTAAACATTTATGTGAGGACTCCCTTGGTGGCCCAGTGGTTAAGACTCCGAGCTCTCAATGCAGGAGGCCTGGGTTCGATCCCTGGTCAGGGAACTAGATCCCATATGTTGCAACTAAAGATCCTGCATGCTGCAACTAAGACCCAGCACAGCCAAATGAATAAATAAAAAGAAATACCTAAAAAATTGTAACCTTTGGTTGAGAAGAGAAAAAAAACAGAAGAAGAGACTATCATATATATAGATCAGCTTTGGAAAACTTTGGGGGAGTCAATAATTAAAAATCCTTAGCAAGTTTCTCGCATGTGTGCATGTGAAGTCGCTTCAGTCATATATGACTCTTTGTGACCCCATGGACTATAGCCCATCAGGCTCCTCTGTCCACGTGATTCTTGAGGCAAGAATACTGGAGTAGGTTGCCATGCCCTCCTCCAGGGCATCTTCCCCAACCAGGGATCGAACTTGAGTCTCCCATGTCTCCTGCATTGGCAGGTGGATTCTTTACCACTGAGTCACCTGGGAAGGCCCACCCCCCCACCACATATATATACATATAATAACTGAATCACAACACTGTAAATCAACTATGCTTCAATTTTTAAAAAGTCTATTTTAGAATTGGGCTTCATCTATAGGTTACTTCTAGTGTGAAAATGAATGACCTAGTACTAGGAACAGATTCTTTTACCTCCTTTTTCCATTTGGAAGTGACTAGCTACTTGGATCTTCAGCTGTGATTGTTCCATCCATGCCCACAGTGGTCAGGTTAATAGATTCCTCCCAGGAGGAATGAGTCACCCTCCTCTAAAATTTTCACTTGCCTCCACTATAGCTCAACCATATTGCATGGGAGCCATTTGTTTACACATCTATGTGTCATACTACATTGAGCTCTTTGGGTTCAAACACTGTCTTATGCTATCAGCATCTAGCAGAGTGCCCCCTGTACTATCTCCAGAGCTAAGATCAGGGATTCTAAAAAAGCTAAGTTCAAAAAGGCATGTTACAGCTGCATCAAAGAGACAAAGTGCATCTACCCCAATATGTACTTACAACATAATTGAAGGATGTATCAGCCAGTACTGCAAACTGACGAAATAATGTGTGCCTAGTAAACATCTCATTCTTAAGGACATGAAAGCTGAAATAAAACATGCAATAGAATTAAAATGAGCAAAAATCATAGGAAAGAGCAAATTGGTATTATGTTCATGTGATGAGAAACTAGAATTTTCAATATAAGAGCAAAGAAATGCAAGTAAAAAATTTTAAATATTACTATGAATTTATCACACTTTTTGGTTTCTAAAACTATATATTTTCCAGCCCTGAAAAGAAAATAAGGAGGAATAGCCTTATTAATACTAGATATTAACATATATCACAAAATAATAATATAGTAATATCCTGGAAAGGAAAAATAAATGGAATAGAATGGGAACTCTGAAACAGATTCAGGAATATACTAGAACATAGTATGTGAGCAAAGTGGCACCACAACCCACTCCAGAAAGAACTGGAATAAAGACCCAAATATGAGGGGTAAGTCAAGAAGGCTTGTCTAAAAAAGTGGGAGAATATCTTAATGAAGATGGAGAAAGATTTTCTAAATACATCTAAGGAAAAAATATTGATGGATAAAGATTAAGAATTTCTGTACAATAAAGGACAACATACACAAAGTTCATAGACTGGGAAAAGGTATTTGTAACATCTAAAATTGACAAAGAATTAAAAATAAGAATACACAAATTTCACAAGCTAACAAGAAAGCAAAAAGATGAAAGGAGTTCACAAAAGAGGAACATCCTTTAAAGGGAAAACATCAGATCAGTAAAAGCTTTGAAAGTCAGATACAACCAAATATTAGAACTCAATCCTTGTATCTCTCTATTTTTCTCCAACACTTATTCTTAGCTAATCTCATTTAATCCCATGACTTTAAATACCATCTATACTAATGCATCCCAAATGTATGCCCCCAGCCTCAACTTTCTTCTGAGTTCGAGACTCATATATTAATCTGCCACTAGACATCTACCCTTAGGTTACTAAGAGGCATCTTGAATTTCACATATCAAAACCAATTTCCTGACAAAATGCACTTGCTTGTTTGAAGCTGAAGGCAACTTCATCCTTCCTGTTGTAAAAAATCTTTGCAATCAAACTTGACTTCTTTCTTTCCCCCCTTACTGCCAATCTTTCAATACCTCCCACTTTCAAAACATATCCCACATTTAATCATTTCTCAACACCTCCACATCTCCCATCCCAGTCAAATCCCCATCATGTTTTGCCTAAAAAAGGCTTATTGTTTTTGGAGCTCCTAACTTTTCTCCCTGCCTTTCCTTTGGTTTTCCTATGGCCTTACATCAATACAGAAGTCAGAATTATTCTTTCAAGACATCAGATCATTTGGGTCTTTCCTTAGTTCAAGACTCTCCAGTGAGGTTTCAGGGTACCAATTCATTATTCTGAGTACTGATAAACAAAGAGGATCAAGCATTTATCTTGCCTCATCTCATCTGAAACTATATTTCAGGGTAACCAGTTGAGGGGAATGTTTTTCTTTGATAGAACTTAGCTAAGAAATGCAGAAGGAAAGATAAAATTGAAGTATTAACAATTTGCCATCCTAATGAAATCTTGACTCATGGTTTGTGATTATTAATGGGTGTTAAGATTATTTGGAGAAAGGTCAATTGGTAAACCTTGACATTCATGAATCAGGCTGATAACATGATTAAAATAACAAAGCCAGACACTAAAGTGCCCCAAAATGGGATGCATAAGAATTACCTAGTAGTTTACATGAGGTAGTCTTGCCTAAAATATTGAATCTGAATCTAATCAACTCTCTAGATTTAAGATCAGTTTGTAGGAAATACAGACTGAAGAACATGCTAAAAGGCACCACAGACACATACACACATGCGTGTAAACAATTAGCCAAATCCAGAATGGGGGACATTCTACATAAGAAATGAACACATTTCTCTAGCAAATCAATGGATTGGAAAAAAAGGGGCTTTTGTGGGATCATTATAGGAAAAAAAAAAAAAAAAAAGATTTAAAGGACACCCAAATGCAGTGGTCTACCTATTCCGGATCTCGATTTAAACAAACAACTATAAAAGATTCCCTTGAGATAATCAAGAGATTTGAATATGACTTGGTTAATAAGCAATGCTAAAGGATTTACATTGCTAGGTTTATTAGGTGTGGTAGGTGGCTCAGAGGTTAAAGCGTCTGCCTGCAATGCGGGAGACCGGGGTTTGATTCCTGGGTTGGGGAGATCCTCTGGAGAAGGAAATGGCAACCCACTCCAGTATTCTTGCCTGGAGAATCCCATGGACAGAGGAGCCTGGCAGGCTATAGTCCACTGGGTAGCAAAGAGTCACAATTGAGACACAAAAGAGACACAATTGAGCGGCTTCACTTTCACTTTTTCACCTTACTAATGACCTAGTAGGCATGTAGAAGAGATTTTCTTATCAATTAAAAACAAGAGCTCCTGGGTTGGTGAACATGTGGAGATATGAGAGCAGCATTGCCCAGGGAGCATGTTTTGAGAGCCCTCCCACAAACTCTGCCCTGGGCATCTCTTCCATTTCGCTGTTCCTGAGTTATATCCTTTTAAAATAAACCGGTAATGTGAAGTCCCAGAGTGGACTTCCCTCAAGGCTGAAATGTTGGAGAAATTTATTCAGGGGACATGGGTTCGATCCTTGGTCCGGGAAGATTCCACATGCCATGGGGCAAGGAACTCTGTGTGCCACAACTACGGAGCCTGTGTGCTGCAACTACTGAAGCCCGGGTGTCTAGAACCCATGTTCAGCAAAAAGAGAAGCTCACAGCGCACCGCAACTGAAGAGTGGCCTCTGCTTGCCTCAACTAGACAAAGCCAGTGCACAGCAACGAAGACCCAGTGCAGGGAAAAAAAACAAAAATGAAAAACGAAGCTTCTAGTGATTTCCCATCTTGGAGCAAAACCTCAAATGTTCTTCTTCTCTGGGCTCTTCTACCACTCGCCCCTGCTCATGTCACTCCAGCCATCTGGTGTCCTCACTGTTTCTGAACACAGGAGCCAACGCTCATCCCAGCACTTCTGCACATGAGGCTTCTTTGGGGAGAGCGGGGGAGTCTCTTCTAAGCACCAGACAGCACGCCCCCCTCACTCATTCAGATCTCTATATCTGAAGATAACTATTATCATGTGCAAATAAGCAGGAAAATGTTTTAATAGGCCTATGGGGGAAGGTAACTTTGTGGGTCCGATTAAACCAGTTATCAAGAGCGTCTGTCCATCCTGTTGATTATTTACCTTTAAACACCGAGATCAGGAATAAAATAGAGTTTGGAATTTAGTTTTTATTTGAAGTGACTTTGACTACTTTTCTACTTTAGGTCAGTTATTTTGCATTTCTTATTAGAAGCATGTGATGGCATTTTATATTACTTAATGCACACAGAAAAATGCTAGGCTCCCAATTTCCTTAAAAGATGATTAGTCACATTTTTTACAAATAGAATTTGTATATATCACCACACTATACCTGTTCCTGAGAATTAAGAACTTCTTTTCCCAGTTTTTGCTGATATGTTCTGATTCATTTTTAATCCTGTAATAAATTTATAGATGGTTATATATATGCAGTATGTATTAGCTGCAAATGAACAATTATGAATTATTATTACCAGTACCTTTCTGACTTCTTTTTCTCTTTCTCTAACTTAGACTTTAACACTTGTATTTGCTCTTCCAAAACACGTTTCTCTTCTTCAATCTTTCAATAGAAGATACATCACAAAGTTAATGAAATGAATCCTGTTTGTATTGTTTTATCCATAAGTATGAAATGTTATTTCTATTAAAAGCATACCATCAAAAATAATTTGAGAGAACAATGAGTTACATTTACTTGCAAATTCCCATAAATTGGAAGAATGTAAGATCCCATGCCTCCATTTCCCGTAAATGATTCACTTCAAAGCAGCCACTGTGAGACAACATTAGGAAGCAACCAAAATTTTTCTTCATCACCCCTCCCCTACTAGGTATCGCTTTTTCTAAATCTCTTCATTAAATTGGCAGCTGCCCCCAGTTATTATATTTCCTCTCTCTATCAAAACTATCCTCAGGAAAGGATCTGACCAACTCAATCACATTAGAGCTATATGTTATTTCCCAGTATTGTTTATATTTTACAAGGGGATGAAGTTTTGGCATAGGAATGAATCTATGACTGTGGGGTTATAGGCATGTCATGAAATAGGTTTCTTTGGATGCGGCAGGGAGATGCCCCAGAATCATACTTATAGAGGCAATCGCTCTGTCTCTTCATTACATTGACTCTTGGTGTAGCTTTCAAAGTCATTGCTACTTTCTCAGAATAGTCAGCATCCATATAAACAGTATTTAGGTTAATAAAAATGGTCACATTAGTCATTACTATACCTTAGCCATTGATGCTTGCATCTTTTCCCCATGCATCACAGCAGGTACTGCATGTGTAGCCTGGAGAGAAAATAAACTAAGGTAAATATAACATTTGAAATCAAGGCATAAAGATGTGGTTTTTTTGTAGTTTAGAGAAAGGCAAATGAGAAAAATTATGCCAACACTAGTTCCATAGGGATCTTGACTGCCTCAATTAATTTACAAGACTAAGGGTTTACACACTGCATTTGCAATTGGACAGTTACAATTGATTAAAACCAATGTTCCCACTATTGCTCTTTAAAAAACTTGTTTTAATGCATTACTCTGAAACTGTATATGGGTCATTGTACCACTATGTATATATTTTTAAATAAGCAGGCAGTTATCACCCAGTGAAGTCACAAGCTTTAAAAAAAATTTTTTTTCCTCAACTATCTTTTGGATTACATCAAATGAATCCCAGTTATAGATATAAAAATGCTGTATTTCAAAATGCTTAAGTAAATCACTTGTACTTTTTTGTTGTTTAGACTGTAATGCATTATTTGCTCATTTATTTAATAATAAATAAACTTTGTTTTTAGGTTTATTTACTTATTTGGCTATGCCAGTCTTGAGGGGGTCAGTTCAGCCAAGCAGGGTCTGAAGCCAGGTCTGCTGAATAAAGTGAAAGGAATCCAGCACTCCCCTGAGCAATGAGAAGAGCAATAAGAGGAGAGGATGGCCAGGCAGGACCCTAAGGCAAGAGGCGCTAGTGTATGGTGAAGGCACAAGGTGACTGTGCCCAGGCCTGATGCCCAATATTCAATGTAAAATGGTATCTGGGTGATGCAAACTGTCCCTGTCACTCACCTTCGGCAACCTTGTCCATCTAAAAGGTGTCCTGTGAGTGAATGGTTTTAGTAGCCATTGAAGAATTGGGTTGGGTTCAGAATCTGACTCAACAAAATGTGAACTGGGATGGCACAGAGTGCCATGAAACTCAGGAACTGACTTGTCTCAGTAGGAGAAGGAGCCTAAACACAGCAGTAGCCATGAGAAGATGCCACGGGCGTCTGTGGAAACCAGTGGACACCCTTTCGGCTCCCACAAAGCAAAGAATGTAGGCTTGAGCCTACTCTACTTACATTTGAAGGGACAGTGAGAATGCGGCTGACATTAGTTGCCACATATAAAAAGTGACAAAATTTGCAATTAATAGTCATAAAAGTTATAATTTTTTGAGTGTCTACTATGTGCCAGATATGTCACACATATTGCCATTTATTCTATATACTAACATTAATTTCATCATCCCTGTTACTTAAGATTTTTAATGATGGAGAAGGCATGCACATTTAAAAAATGTAAGTAGCAGATAGTATATATGAACATAAATTCTCACTTCTAAGAAGCCAAAGGTTTTGCTTTTAGTTTTTCTCATTGTTATAATTATAAATAAATAGTGACCTTTATTGCTTTGGGCTCTTCACAAATAAAGATTAAGATTTAGAGCATTTATTTACTATATAGCACAGGGAACTATATTCACTATCTTGAAATAACCTGCAATGGAAGAATAATCTTAAAAAATACAGCTGAATCATTTTGCCGTACACCTGAAACTAACATAATACTGTAGTGTTATACTTTAATTTTATCAATTTTACTTTACAAATATTATTTTATTTTACAATTTTACTTTTAATCAATTATACTTTAATTTTAAAAAGTAAATAAAAGTAAAACCAATGGGAAAATTTTTTAATTAAAAAAAATAATTTAGAGCATTCGAATTACCTTCTACCTTCTCTCTTTCCTCACATGCTCTATTTTTTATTTGCAAATGTTTAGCTCTTACTGTGGCTGCCTTTATTATGGTTTCAATATATGAACGTCTATGTCATGATCTATGAACCCTCTGCTGATAATTTCTGATTATCTCCTGGCTGATAGGCGAATTCTCAGCAGGGACTTAATCCGGAAATTGATCCTAACCCTCTGCTCTTATCTTAGTTCACTAAACTCTAACTCCTATTCCATCAGTCCCCACATCCTGCAGTTTTCTGGTGGTCCTAGAACTACCCAAATTATTGTTCCCTTGGTTGTCTCCACACCTTCCTGGAGAAAACTACCACCTACCATCACCAGCATAGTGACAGTCTCCCCAAGGCCCATGTGGCAGGAAAGGAACCAAAAACAAAACCGGAGGCATAGCAACACTAATTTAACAAAACAGTGAAAGTCTTCATTTTCATCAGCCTTCCTTGCCTTCCAATGTGTGGGGATCACTCAGGTTATGGGAGGCGTGCACTTTGGGGGCTCCCTCCCCATCTCTGTTCTCAAAGAGCACAACCCACTTGAAGTGCCTCCCTGACCAGGGCACAAGCAGTACACACTGCGTACTCTGCCATTTGGTTAACAGGGGACCAAAGAAACCGGAGGCATAAGAGCCCCAGGCTTTGGAGGGGCTGCATGCAAGTGGATCTGCCTGCCAATGCAGGAGACACAGGTTGGATCTCTGGTTCAGGAAGATTCCACAGGCCACAGGGCAACTAAGCCCTGTGCCACAACTACTGAGCCCATGAGCTTCAGAACCTGCACTCACCAACAAAAGAAGTCACCATGTCACCCACAAGAGAAGTAACTGCAATAAGAAGCCCAAAACGATTGAGCAGCGCCCCCCTGCCACAACTAGCGAAAGCCCATGCACAGCAGCAAAGACCCAGTGTGGCCAAAAGTAAAAATCAGTGAATAAATAAATTAATTAAATGAAATAAAAAGAATCCACAGAAAGTTAGGAAAACAAACTGGCAAAGCAAAATCAGTTTCCACTGAGAAGGACATTTATATTTATTTCACTCTATCCAAAGTCATATCAGTAGTTGAAAGTTTATTTTAGAAATTGATTCTGTGTTTAAATTCGTGTACAGTAAAAGTTAGTTCCAATTTTCAAGGCTCCCTTTTCCTGACTCTCATATAATGATCAACTCTGTAATAACTAGAGGTAAAACCCTGCTAAAGCATATCTTATGTAAAGCAAATAATTATTCAATCTCTCCCAAAGACAATACTCTTAGCATGACAAAGATAGCTTCTCTTTTCATTAAAAAAAAAAAATGTACTGCATGTAGACTAGAGTGTTTGCTCTCCAGTTTGACTTGAACTTTCAACTCTGTTGTAGCATGTTATATTGAATCCTGACTCTGTCCACATTAAACTGTCATTTTGTTTTGCCAGCTGCTGGCATTCCACTTTCACTGGAATACATGTGCTGGTCTTTATGTGGTTACTTCATTGACAGGTGCAAACACCGGACTGCTAAACAATAGATAGAGGTGAAAATGAGTGGTAATAGAAAGTAGATAACTTCCTAAGTAGGACAATGTACATTAAATTATTACAAGGAAAACCAAACATTGTGACTAGAAATAATTCATTATAAATATTTCTCATATTCTCTTGAATTTACTTCAGGGAGATTCTTTACCATGTGAGTCACCAGGGCTTTTTATATATATATATATAAAACTAAAATCCATAAAATTAAGAAATAAGTTTTATTCATAACAGAAATCATGATTCTTAAATGTTTCCCATATTTAAGCATTTACAACAGGTTAAAAACCAACATTCAATAAATATAATCTAAATCTGGAATCAGTAGCCAAGGTTTCTATTAATAATAACAGAAGCACAATTATGTTTATTAGCTGTCATAAGATCAACCGTATTCCTTATCCTACCCCCTTTCTCCTTTTGTTCTCAATCAAAGAATCATTACATTCTTTAATTTCTCCCAATTTTCACAAACATCACTCTTCTTAAACTTGGGCCATTCATTCTGGATTTAATACCTCCTTGAAATCTCTCCTTTAAACCATCAAATATATTACCATCAAAACAATGTTTCTAACTCAGCAAGAAAGATGATTTTCTGTCTCTAAAATTTCATTAATCTTGACTTTCATATTATCATTTTTTTCTAATTATCTTCTGAGCAAACTACTATTTTTGAACACTATTGTGCCAGTGTGTGGTGGGTAGTGCAGTGGGGGAGGAGGGGAATGGAATGGAGAAAAACACAAGCATAGGAAGAGAGGAGGAACAGACTCTGAATAGAAACAAAATGGTAAGAGACCATTAGCAAATTGACAGAAATTGCTTAAGTAAACTGTTACTTCTGTGGAGTGAAATACTATATGTAATTGATTACCTATATATTATATATTCAGTGGCACTGAACAGCCATCTGACTGGGGGGAATCTCAGTTCCCCGATGAGGGACTGAAACTAGGTATCAGCAGTAAAAGCCAGAATCCTAGACAAAAATGTCGTGTATCTTAATCAGAATCCACTTGTATATTTTCAGCTAGAGAGACATATCACCAGAATTACTCCTTAGGTTGTTCAGGCTCAGGTCTATCAGTTCTGGTGGTGTGAAGTCTAATACGGGTTCACCATAATGCTTTCAGCCACTGGATTAACTGGACTCTATGGCACTTCATGGCCCTGGTTACAATACTCTTTGTTCTATTCTGGATAGAACAGAGCACTATCTCCCACTTAGAAACTTGTGAAGGAGATCTTCAGGCTATTTTCAAAATTTTCAAAAAGCCTAAAAATCAGTGTACCTTGATTCCCTAGTAAGGTTGCATAGGCTAACAAAATGAAAGAGCTCTTTGGATTTGGCTGGCATAGAATCAATTCAGAGAGCTATCCTTAGTTACCTAAGGCTGACTGGAAATGCAGGTTAGCAGTCATAGGTAACAGGTGAATAAGGGGAAACGAGTAGCTTTCCTTTAATTAGTTCATGTTTCTGAGGAACAGAGACCACACTGTGGCATTCCATGAAGAGAAGTCTATGAAAGTACATTCCTAGAGAAAAGGAAGTTGACGTATGCCATAATTTATAAAAACGAAACCCTTGGATTTGAGGAGAAACCTGGGACCTAGGACTGCAGAGGTCAGGGCTGAAGAAGGTGACAAGGTGGAAGAGTTGGATCCAAAGAGGATGGCCGACAGTCCAGTGCTGGCATCCGGGGTGGGGTGTAGCTACCTCAGGCCGATGCTGGGGAGTGTTGGTATTGAAGTTGTTCTGTGAGGTCTATCTGTGATTGAATTCACAGCAGAACTGGTGGATGCAATGATGGCAGTTAGATGAGTGACAGCACGTCAAACGGTCAGGGGGTGAGACCCAAGTCTGACCTGGTGTTTGTGACTGGCCCCGACTTCCAGGGAGAACTGAGGAGAAACCCGTAGCTAAAACCCAGGAAGTGGAATAAAGCAACACGCTGCAGTGAGGAGTCAGAAGACTGCCCTGGGAGCTCCTGAGCGACATTTCCTGCTACTACCAGGTGACATTATTAATTAATATTAATAATTGTTAATATTATAAATGCATGTCAGGACCTAGTGTCTGCCCCATGGTTCAGAGTGTCTACAGAAGAATAGAAATTGATACAAATCTCTTTTTCCCCTGGTTTCCATAGCAATATCTTAGGGCTTTAAATTAAATTACACTAAGATATCGTAAATTTTACAAGTAAAATGTTATCATTGTTCCCCAATGAAAATAAACAAGAAGCAAAGCGTAAAACCCTTCAAGTGATTTTTTTAACAAAAAATTTTCTTCATTTGTGCAAGAAACATCGGAGATTATTTTCACCAAAATATTTTCAGTTCCAAATACACTGTGAGTACTTATTTATCATCAAGCTACTTAGAATAATATAATACAAAAGTCAAAGCCACCTTTTGGCTGAATTGTGACTACTTATTTATCATCAAGCTACTTAGAATAATATAATACAAAAGTCAAAGCCACCTTTTGGCTGAATTTTGAATGTGATATTTCTTCAATTTTTCCATTTTGGTCTCTGACAGCAGAATCTAAAGATGCATTCACTTTAGTGGCAAATAACAAATTTGATTTTAAAATAAAAACAAGTAATTGTAGTGTATGATTTCAGTTATCTCTACATTTTAAAGTTATTTCTATTTGGGCCTTCCCTGGTGGTCCAGTGGTCAGGAATCGGCGCTTTCACTGCCATGACACCCAGGTTCAGTCCCTGGTGGGGGAATTAAGATCCTGCAAGCCTCTTGACATGGCCAAAAAAAAAAAAAAAAGAGTTATTCCTATTAGGAAACAAAGATTCAGTATGATTAGGAAAAATTTTGTTGTGTCAACATAATCAATGGGCTTCCCAGCTGGCTCCAGTGGTAAAGAACCTGCCTGACAATGCAGGAGACATAAGAGATACCGGTTCGATCCCTGGGTTGGGAAGATTCTCTGGAGGAGGGCATGGCAACCCACTGCATTCTTTCCTGGAGAATCCCATGGACAGAGGAGTCTTGTGGGCTACAGTCTATAGGGTTGCAAAGAGTCAGACACGACTAAAGCGACTTAGCATGCAATCTATCAAAATACAGTAAATTCCCTCTGACAGCCTCTGAAGACTGTATACGTGTCCAGGACGGTCCCAGCTCTGTATCACTCCACCACCTTGCGGAGGGGTGGGGGTACAGATCGACAAAGAGCAAAACGCTGGCTTTTTCACATAGCTCTGCAGAACTATGAACTGCCTGCTTTATCAAGCCAAGCCCAGAGGAAAAAAATGATGAAACAATGAACAGATTATATGATTTTCTTCTCTGATGGAGTTTATTTTCCACTTCATGTGTAATTCAATCCAGTAAAAGGAATGTATAGGAGAGGAATAGGGAAAGATCTTCCTTTCATCCACCTTACCTATAATACACTATACCCATAATAATTCCACATCCCATAATAATAATAATTTTTAAAAGTTACTAGCTTGCAGGATGACTATGGTCATACTTATAAAACTATTGCAAAGTACTTCATCTTGCAGTTCTTGAATTGTTTAAATAATAGTGTTCCAGAGTTTTTATGAAAGTTTTTTTTATGCTGTCCAAATTGCTTTGTATCGAGTGAAGTTTACGGATGGGAACACGACTGACTGTCCCCTGTCCCACTTCCCACACGGGAAGGTCCTGATGCTTTCTGCAGCTCTAAGCACACGCCATATGTTCCATCAGCACAGACAGGTGACCCCATGGAAGCTCAGAAGTCTTCCAGAGAAGCATTTACTGGGCACAGCCCTAATTCACTAATTACCCTGGAGCAGGGCTGGGGGTGCGGAGAGGGGGAAGCTAGGAACCCAGTTTTAACCTTGTTCTGTGAAACCTCAGTATTTGAAATGTTTTACAGCTATCAAAAAATAAACTTTACACAAAAACGCTGTCCAAACACAAATTTCACATTGTGAAATCTTTCATAAATGGAAATCAGACAGCAATGTTCCTATCACACTTTTCAGACTGGCTAAATACTCCGTTTATCACCGTGTGCGCCACTGGGTGAAGCACGTGTGCTGTTCCCACAGAATGACACAGATTTCAAAAAATAAGTATGATTAATTAGATAAGGTAAATGACTGATGTAAAATGTTCCTGCAGCAAGCCCTCCTTTTGGTCATCTACACATGGTCAAGATGATAAAACCCTTAAGAGACAATTTTTAAGAAGTCCGACTACCTCGGTATTGACAAAATATTCAAGAGTTCTGAGAAACAGGAAAATGATAACCAGAGTACATATATGAAGAATTCATCTACAATGAAGAATATACCGCATGGGGAGGTGATGGAAGGGAACACTCACTATAATAGGATTATCATTAACAAAAGTGAATATGAAAGTAATAACAGTGTGCTAGAAAAATATATTTCACATTAAAATCAAGTCAATTCCTATGAAAATGTTAAGTCCAGTTTACGTCATCTCTCCCCTCCCCCGGTCCAATTTTTACTTACTGTTACACATTAACTTCTGAGTCTCTGCAGCTGACAAAATGTACTGTTAAGCTTCAGAACATCTAGATAACAATCATTACGGTCAGAAGGAAAGTCTGGGACACTTAAGAGAAAATCCTCATGACACTTTCTCAGATATCCTTTCTCCTCATCGTGGTGTTTTGTTTTTTTTTTTTTTTTGTCTTCCCTTCATGATACATTTTCCCTAGGGGAAAACAGGCAGTATTTTTGCCCCTTGTAGCTGGGACTTTGGAAGCTCAGTTTTGATCTGTAAACAGGGGACACTGGAGTATCTAGTCTGCAATGCTAGGATTGAGTTAGAGCCCTGGGCTTTCTGCAGGGACCAGGCTGCTCTGTCTGGGTTTCTGACCCTGCTCTGCGATTCTCCCACCATCATCTCAGAACCTCAGACCACAGACCCCTGGCACGCACCCCGATTTCACAGCAGCTCAGAGGTTTCTGGAACATGATGCCACCGTAGCCACAGGCTCCCTAAGTCTCAGGCTTAAACTAGAGCCCCTCACCCAGTAAAGCTGGACCCCCCACCCAGGTTAGCAGGCAGCACTGCAAACTCAAGTCCAGCATTTGCTTTTTGCCTGTTTTTTTTTTTTTTTTCTTGTGTGTGTGGACTTCCCCCTGTCCTGCCTCCCTCAACCCCCACTGCCCAACATACTTCCCAGACCTGGATTCCAAAAAATCTTACTTCTGGAACCTAGTCAGTGGTCAGGCGTGCGCCATGTTCTCCAAGTGTCATTCTCCTAATGGGGAAATTACATTGGTTTAGGGTTGTTGATACTTGCTAACTCTCTGCAGAGTGGAAGTGCTTATCGAGGAGAGTGGTTTTCTCTTAGCTCCTGGGCTTTCCTTCCAAGGGGAGTGACTCCCACTAAGCATCATGCCTGGCCTCCCTCCACCTCTGCTCCACTGCGCTCGTTCCCCTCTACTGGGCTCAAGCGGTGAGGCTCCTGCCTGGTGAGTGCTGGAGGGAGGTTGATGCCTTTTCCTGCCCTCTCTGGAGCCAGAATGACACAGTGAGCAAGATTCTACTCTGTCCTCCTGCCCTGAGTGCTGGAGCGGTAGACTCTGCCCTCTGTGAGAGGAGGAGGAAGATTGTGGGGACACATAGCAACAAGAGGCTGGGAACCCAAAATGTGCTAGTGGACGGACTCTCTCCAGGAAATGCTGTACCTTGCAAGTACGTGTCACCAATCAGCACTGAAGCTTCCAAATGGTGTAGAAAAGGAGTTATGACCAGTTGCATGATTCACAGTGCCCACAGGATAGATCAATTGCTCAGAGAAATGCAACCATTCCCATAACTAGGGGAGTACTGTGGCAGTCCAGTGGTTAGGATTCTGCACTTTCGCTGCTGAGGACGTGGGTTCAGTCCCTGGTTGGGGAACTAAGATCCTACAAGCCTCTGATAGATACTGGGCAGTCATGAGTTGGAGATTTTACACCTTGAAAGTGCTTGGAAGGTGGCTTCTCTATCTTACTAATTTAACAGAGATCCATGAAGGCTTGGTGACTAAGACAAATAAACCATCAAGCTAAGCACAGAGGTGGCATCCTCCCGGGTAAGGTAAGGGGCCTGATGAGGACACGCTGGTGTGGAAAGAGCAGCCAGAGCCTCCTGTCCAGATGCCCACAGAGGGGGCAAGGAGAATCGAGTGTTTGAGACACTGGCCTTGCCGCTGGACCAGAGGAGCAGCGCTGAGGTTGCAGCAGTGCTCACAGCGCCCTCTGCAGGTGAGGGTGTCACGGGCTGCGAACCAGTCTCACCGTGGGTGGCTCCTCCTTTAACGTCTTCTTTGGACTCTTGACCCTCTTGGTCTTAGAAGGCGATGAACGGATGGAGGAAGAACGTGGCCTCAGAGAACTTGCACCTGCACTCTTGGGCTGTGAGGGCCACTGGGCTGAAAGGGTCTCTTTCCCCTTGGTGCTTCTGGGGCGCTGGCACAGAAGAAGAACCATTCTGTTATTAGCCATAATGTTATTCTCATTATCTGTGTTTCAGATTCACCTCCCTCTCTTTGGCTCCCTTGCCCTCCTCTCCTGAGCTAGAACCACAGGGTGGAAGTCTTCAGTCCCAAGAGGCCTAGATCTAGTCTTGCTCCCAGTTCCACCATCCCTTATCCCCCAAGCCCCAACCCTGCCTGATTTAGTCTGTGGGTGGGGCCTGTTTTTCCATCCCTCCTACTGATGCTTAAGTACTGAGACAAACATACCAACAGATCATTGATTTCTGAAAGTCCCTGGGAAGGTGGGATCTTTGTGGGGTGGGATGAGGTGGTAGCTTGAGCAGTGTTTCATACTCCTAAGAAGGCCACGGGCGCAGGGCTGGCAGGTAGAAGCCACGAGACAGGAGCTGGAAGGGCCAGGGCACTGAGCCTGGGGTCGGGACACCAGTGACACCTCCTGCGCGCTCTCTGCCCTCGTGGCTCTAAGCTAAGCCCCAGGTCCTCGCCTCCCACTCACATGCCTTGCCTCACTTTAAGCATTTTCTCCTTCAAACTTAGATGAGAGAAAGTGAAAAGCCTCTGGATAGTATGTATAGGTTCTTCAACTCAGATGCCCAAATATGAGATGAACAGAATAAAAGAAAAAGAAAATAAAGAACTTAAATGCCAACCTTGGCAACTATAGCGTCATACTTTCTTCTCATTTCAAGGTCCTCTTTCTGCTTATTAACCTGTGAAATTAAAGACCTGTGTCATTTGTTATCATTTGCAAAGATGAAAAAAGAGAATATGCGGTAAACCGTCCATAAGCAATGAAAGAGTAGCATTTTAAACCATTTTGCTGCCCAAACTATTATGGGAATATAAGTCACAATATTGAATATAAATAAATTAGAAGAGAAAATAAATTCGCTCCCAGAAGAAAAAGTACTTTGTAATAGAGCTTATAGGAAAACATGCAATTATTTGCTTATGTGCTTTTATTAACATTCTTGTGTGCCAGGCACTGCACTGTGTTGCTATTCAGCCACTCTGCATTAGGCTCTTAGAATAACTAATACAGACAGAGGAGGCTTGCTGGCTACAGACCAGGGGATTTTCAAAGAGTCAGACACAAATGAAGCGACTTAGCATACACACAAACCTTGCCTTCAAGCATTTAGGTTCTAGCAGAAAATGAGTTTCTAAAATGCTTCAATTAAAAAAAAATTACATATACCAAAAATGTATGCAGTGCAAATATAAGTTAGAAGTAAAATTAATATGACCATCTGATGAGAAAGAGAACAGCCATAGTGTTAAACCTCTCTGTGTAATTGACACGATCCTATAACCACCTCCAAACCAGGAAACCACTATTCTGAATTTTGTGCTTAGAATTCCCTTTTATTTTCTTGATTAATTTTTTGTCATGTTTATAGACTTACCACTTCATCCCATTGGTATCCTTTTTTTTTTTTTTTTTATCACAACCATAGTGTATCTTTTTTTTTCTTTTTTTTTTTTTTTTACATGTATTCCCCATCCCGGTCCCCCCTCCCACCTCCCTCTCCACCCAATCCCTCTGGGTCTTCCCAGTGCACGAGGCCCGAGCACTTGTCTCATGCACCCAACCTGGGCTGGTGAACTGTTTCACCCTAGATAATATACGTGTTTCAATGCTGTTCTCTTGAAACATCCCACCCTCGCCTTCTCCCAGAGTCCACAAGTCTGTTCTATACATAGGAGTCTCTTTTTCTGTTTTGCACATAGGGTTATCGTTACCATCTTTCTAAATTCCATATATATGTGTTAGTATACTGTAATGGTCTTTATCTTTCTGGCTTACTTCACTCTGTATAATGGGCTCCAGTTTCATCCATCTCATTAGAACTGATTCAAATGAATTCTTTTTAATGGCTGAGTAATATTCCATGGTGTATATGTACCACAGCTTCCTCATCCATTCGTCTGCTGATGAGCATCTAGGTTGCTTCCATGTCCTGGCTATGATAAACAGTGCTGCGATGAACATTGGGGTACACGTGTCTCTTTCAGATCTGGTTTCCTCGGTGTGTATGCACAGAAGTGGGATTGCTGGGTCATATGGCAGTTCTATTTCCAGCTTTTTAAGAAATCTCCACACTGTTTTCCATAGTGGCTGTACTAATTTGCATTCCCACCAACAGTGTAAGAGGGTTCCCTTTTCTCCACACCCTCTCCAGCATTTATTGCTTGTAGACTTTTGGATAGCAGCCATCCTGACTGATGTGTAATGGTACCTCATTGTGGTTTTGATTTGCATTTCTCTGATAATGAGTGATGTTGAGCATCTTTTCATGTGTTTGTTAGCCATCTGTATGTCTTCCTTGGAGAAATGTCTGTTCAGTTCTTTGGCCCATTTTTTGATTGGGTCATTTATTTTTCTGGAGTTGAGCTGGAGGAGTTGCTTGTATATTTTTGAGATTAATCCTTTGTCTGTTGCTTCGTTTGCTATTATTTTCTCCCAATCTGAGGGCTGTCTTTTCACCTTGCTTATAGTTTCCTTTGTTGTGCAAAAGCTTTTAAGTTTCATTAGGTCCCATTTGTTTATTTTTGCTTTTATTTCTAAAATTCTGGGATGTGGGTCATAGAGGATCCTGCTGTGATTTATGTCGGAGAGTGTTTTGCCTATGTTCTCCTCTAGGAGTTTTATAGTTTCTGGTCTTACATTTAGATCTTTAATCCATCTTGAGTTTATTTTTGTGTATGGTGTTAGAAAGTGTTCTAGTTTCATTCTTTTACAGGTGGTTGACCAGTTTTCCCAGCACCACTTGTTAAAGAGGTTGTCTTTTTTCCATTGTATATCCTTGCCTCCTTTGTTGAAGATAAGGTGACCATAGGTTCGTGGATTTATCTCTGGGCTTTCTATTCTGTTCCATTGATCTATATTTCTGTCTTTGTGCCAGTACCATACTGTCTTGATGACTGTGGCTTTGTAGTTTAGTCTGAAGTCAGGCAGATTGATTCCTCCAGCTCCATTCTTCTTTCTCAGGATTACTTTGGCTATTCGAGGTTTTTTGTATTTCCATACAAATTGTGAAATTATTCGTTCTACTTCTGTGAAAAATACCGTTGGTAGTTTGATAGGGATTGCATTGAATCTGTAGATTGCTTTGGGTAGTATAGCCATTTTGACAATATTGATTCTTCCAATCCATGAACACTGTATATTTCTCCATCTGTTTGTGTCCTCTTTGATTTCTTTCATCAGTGTTTTATAGTTTTCTATGTAATAGGTCTTTTGTTTCTTTAGGTAGATATACTCCTAAGTATTTTATTCTTTTTGTTGCAATGGTGAATGGTATTGTTTCCTTAATTTCTCTTTCTGTTTTCTCATTGTTAGTGTATAGGAATGCAAGAGATTTCTGTGTGTTAATTTTATATCCTGCAACTTTACTGTATTCGTTGATTATCTCTAGTAATTTTCTGGTAGAGTCTTTAGGATTTTCTATGTAGAGGATCATGTCATCTGCAAACAGAGAGAGTTTCACGTCTTCTTTTCCTATCTGGATTCCTTTTACTTCTTTTTCTGCTCTGATTGCTGTGGCCAAAACTTCCAAAACTATGTTGAATAGTAGTGGTGAGAGTGGGCACCCTTGTCTTGTTCCTGATTTCAGGGGAAATGCTTTCAGTTTTTCACCATTGAGGGTGATGCTTGCTGTGGGTTTGTCATATATAGCTTTTATTATCTTGAGGTAATTTCATTCTATTCCTGCTTTCTGGAGAGTTTTAATCATAAGTGGATGTTGAATTTTATCAAAGGCTTTTTCTGCATCTATTGAGATAATCATATGGTTTTTATCTTTCAATTTGTTAATGTGGTGTATTACATTGATTGATTTGCAGATATTAAAGAATCCTTGCATTCCTGGGATAAAGCCCACTTGGTCATGATGTATGATTTTTTTAATATGTTGTTGGATTCTGTTTGCTAGAATTTTGTTAAGGATTTTTGCATCTATGTTCATCAGTGATATTGGCCTGTAGTTTTCTTTTTTTGTGGCATCTTTGTCTGGTTTTGGAATTAGGGTGATGGTGGCCTCATAGAATGAGTTTGGAAGTTTACCTTCTTCTGCAATTTTCTGGAAGAGTTTGAGTAAGATAGGTGTTAGCTCTTCTCTAAATTTTTGGTAGAATTCAGCTGTGAAGCCATCTGGTCCTGGGCTTTTGTTTGCTGGAAGATTTCTGATTACAGTTTCGATTTCCTTGCTTGTGATGGGTTTGTTAAGATCTTCTATTTCTTCCTGGTTCAGTTTTGGAAAGTTATACTTCTCTAAGAACATGTCCATTTCTTCCAAGTTGTCCATTTTATTGGCATACCCCAGACGCCCGTACCCGCCAGCAACAAGCGGGGGCGGGACGGAGAGGAGCGGGCGGCATTGCTTAGGGTAAGGACTGGCCCATTGGTATCCTTAAGCAACATACAGATTTAGTTCTGCTTACTTTTTTTTTTTTAATTTTTAATTTTTAATTAATTTATTTTTTATTTTTTTATTTTTTCCATTTATTTTTATTAGTTGGAGGCTAATTACTTTACAACATTGCAGTGGTTTTTGTCATACATTGAAATGAATTAGCCATGGATTTACATATATTCCCCATCCCGGTCCCCCCTCCCACCTCCCTCTCCACCCAAACCCTCTGGGTCTTCCCAGTGCACCAGGCCCGAGCACTTGTCTCATGCATCCAACCTGGGCTGCTGATCTGTTTCACCCTAGATAATATACATGTTTCAGTGCTATTCTCTTGAAACATCCCACCCTCGCCTTCTCCCACAGAGTCCGCAAGTCTGTTCTCCCTTAATGTGTTCACTTCATAGCTTTTGAGATTAACCCTTGTTGATACTGGAAGCAGTTCATTCATATTTGCTGCTGTATACTATTCAAGAGAACAGTACAGCATAATGTATTTATCCATGATGTATTTATCCATGATGTATTTATTCCCTGTCAATGAACATTTGGGAAATCCCAGGTTTCTTCTTTTATATACAATATGGCTTTAAATATTCTGGAACCTGTTCCCCCAGGCACATGTGCTAGGATCTCCTTGGTGATGTTATATGCCTAGGAACAGAACTTTGGGGCATATTTTAAGAGAAAGATCAGCTTCAGCAGATAACCCAAATTTGTTTTCCAAAGTTTCCATAACAACATACATATTCCCAAGCAGTTTATGAGAATTCTTTACTCTACATACTTAACAGCATTTGGTAGTTATATTATTCCTGAACCAAGCACATTTTCAGTCAATGTTCATTGGTCACTGGGTTTCTTCTTTGGTGAAGCGCCTGTTAAAAACTTCAGCCCAGATTTCTATTGGGTGGTCTTTTCCTTATTGACCTGAAGGAGTTATTCACATATTCTTGAAAACAGCTTTGTGAATACATAAATGGTGTGAATATTTTTGCAAATTTGTGGCTAGATCTTTAAAATTTCTTTGAGGCATCTTCTGATGAAAAGGGGCCCTTAATTTTCACGGGGTTGAATTTTTTTAATCAATTTATTTGGCTGCACCAGGTCTTAATAGGGGCACGTGAGATCTTTAGTTGTGGCATGTGGGGTCTAGTTCCCTGACTAGGGATTAAACTCGGGTCCCTGCATTGGAAGTGTGGAGTCCTAGCCACTGGACCACCAGGGAAGTCCCTGAAACTTTTAATTTTCCATTTACACCTTGTTTATTTTGTGTCTTATTTAGGCAATAATTTCTA